TTTATCCCAATTTTGATTTGCTGAACTCCACTATGAATACGAGGAAGCACGATAACACGTCACGAACGTATATGTCGAAAGAAGCTTCAATTAGACTAATAACAATATAATACACTTTACCTGATACGCTTCCACTTTAATTCCGTCTTTAACCATCAGGACTTGACCTTCCCTTTCTCCTATTATACGATTGAATTTGGTAACTTAATAATGCGCAAGTCGTCTGAAGATCAATACTATGTCTAACCTGGCGTTGATAGAGCTTCTTTTCCAGGAAGATTATCTCTCTTCAAATCTCCAACCTGATTACTTGTGATAGTTAAATACATATCTTAGAATGGTTGTCATAAAATATCAATCACAAACGCAACCTACGTCGGAATGGCTTGACTCGCGAGAAGCTCGTTGTATTCCTATATATTTCACAAAACTTTTCTTAGTGACATAAAGTTTCATTATAGGCAACTGATTTCTCCGATTCTTTTTCAAACCTTCAATTTCTCTGCGTCAGCTATCCTTTCTGGTACACGAGAGAATACGCGCACTATTCCATCGCTAGCACCACTAATAATATCTCCGTTAGGCATGGCTGCCGTGCACCACACAGATATTGCTGGATGCGAAATGGTCTGTACGCATTCACCATCTAATAACAAAAAGGAAAGGAAATAGCGGTGGAGGAAGAAATGTCGAATCAAACAGAAGGACATTTGAGGAGGTTCACATACCCTTCCATACTTTTACAGATCTATCTTCTCCACTGGATATAATTTCGCCTGTAGGCAAAGTGTCTACAGAGTAGACAAATGATTGATGGCCATAGAGTTCCTGCAAACATTGACCGTCCAAATTCCAGATTCTCAACGAACTATGAGTGTATCAGATATGAAAGAAACATTAGGCATCAACTTTGATTATGGACTCAATTCCTGTCGCGCCAGCACGTTGCAACCATGAAATTTTATTACCCGTCATTACTGCAAGAAACAAATCCCATTCCTTTAATTTCAGCAAGAGATCTAACACAATCGGTATGCCCGTAAAACGTATTTGTACGCACTCCATCGTCCCATCTGACAATCGTTTTATCCGCCGAACCTGCAAAGGCAAATAAACCTCGTCAGTATAGTTAAAGACTATGCCAATACGTAGTATCTCTCACCACACACATGTAGATGCATATTCCTTATTTCTCATGTAACAAATGTACCCCCCGCTTTCGCGTACCAGTTATTATAATTTGGTCCGATATGGCTAATACTGCCCATACAGCGGCTTCGTGTCCCTTCAAAGTATAAACAAGTTGTTGGTTCCGCCATAGCTTCGATGTTCTAATATCAAATACTAATTAGCATGAATTAAAGCAGTATATCTTCTTGGGTTAACCGATCACGAACCGTCAATCGAACATACTTATCCCATGATCCAGAGACTATGTGTCCGGACGGTGTGATATCAAGAGCGCAAACATTGTCGGCATGATCAATCAACGAAAATATCGGATCGCCTGCATTTTCGACATCCCAGACATGTATAATTTTATCACTGCTTCCACTAACAATTAGGCCTATGCATCAAGCATGCGCCAGAGTTGCAAATTATATATATGTACATTCATTAATATCCTTTTTGGAATATCAGCTGCAAGGTCAGATACTTGGCATCACATACCAGATGGATACTCTGCACTTGGGCCAATATAAGCAACCGAGTTAACAAACCGCGAATGTCCCAGGAATATCTTAGAGTTACCAAAGGCGTTTGACGCAGTCCTAAACCACATGCGAACCGAATTATCTCGTGCAGCAGAGATAACTCCGTCTTCGCCGGCGCTGCACACTGCTTTTACCTATTGTATAAGGATGTTAGAAATTATAGAGGGGATCAGGTTATAATACATGATGACATACATCTTGCTCATGTCCTGACAGGGAAGCAGCTAACTGGAAAGGCGTATAATCTGACATTTCGTTCTCGATGTGCTCTTAATCGTGATGCTCCGAGTTGTGTCTTTGGTATGATGGTACATCACGTGGAAATACCTTATTTTTTTCCGAAATGGGCAATCCAAACGTGTTGCTAGAAATTGTTCCAACTATCATCATGTGATGCTCGTGACATGACCAAGCGCAAATCGCATTTTAATATGTTATAAATAGGCTTTCCTTTATGCGTATAAAAACTTACATATGTACTTGCAGAGCAACTAGAAAGCCTTCTTTCAAGATACGTCGTCATACATGCGTAGTCGATGGATTATCATTAACTATAACAATTCAATAGACGAGTATGTGCACAAGAAACGAGTGTAATGATTCATACAGGACGCGAATTTACATTAATCGGATTCTAAGAAAATAATTATGGAATGCTTGTTAAATGTCTGTTCACCCCATTGATATTAACCCCGTAGATAGCTTACGTTGTTGAGACTTGACGTTATGCCCAGTAGTAGTAGGTTAGTAACCCTAATGGATACAAGCTATCGACTTAAATTCACATGTTTTACTCATTCCAGCCTCTTCCGCGATTTTTCTGGTGTTTCAATTTTGCCATGATCCATGGCTCTGCCTTCCTAATGGTATTGCCTCCACAAACAGTGTCTCAATGATTTGATTTGGTCAAATCATGAGTATGAGTGAAATCAACAAAATAATTATAAACTAAACGAGTTGGTGAAAAACGGATTATAGGACTGATAAATCTTATCACCTTTACACATAGCAAATATTCTAGAGCGTCATATGGTGGAATCTGTGTACACTCTATTCAGACATTGCAAATCATCTGGGAATATTAATATTAATATTGAATTGCATTGAAAGCCAAAAGCACTGGGATGACATATAGATTGTTGGGAGAGAAAGTGACAAAGGCTTACAGCAGATGACAATCCCATAACTTTTATGATGATATTGTGATGTCCTTAAATTCACCTTCACATAGAATATTATTATCATTAGAATTATTCCTCAGTTATTATTATTATTGTTCAATGTTATGCCTATCATATATCATACATGCTATGTAATAAGTATCAAAAAAGAGGTTGATGTCTACACCCCACTCTTACTATTATTTAAGAACCAAGTTGGGACCATAGCGATTTTTTTGAAAAAAATGTTGTTATGAAGAGGTGTTCTTTTATAAAGGTTTTTTTATAAGTTTAATAATAATTGGGTCTTTGATTCAATGTTCATGTAAAGAGGTTTTTATATGACGTTCTTTTATAGAGGGTTTTTTTATTGGAGTGCGACTGTAGTTATACTTAATTACCATATAATAAGCACCCTTTAACAATAGGGGGTGCTTATTTTCGGAGGTTAGACAAAATTTAGAACAATTAGTATTAATTAATACTATTAGTAAAAATATCTCGAATTTTCTAGACAGATCTAATAGTGACAGAACAAACGCGAGAGCATTAATGTTTACTTTCGGAGGCAGGGAGGTGCTTATTTTCGGAACTATACGGTATTTGCTTTGTACACACGATTTAATCAAATTCGATAGGCCAAATTCGAATTCCACCAGCTCCCACTGATTATAGAAGAGGAAGT